TTAAAGAAGTTGAACTTTTATTTAAAAATCTTACCGTCATGTTCAGATTATTTTAAAACTCGCAAACCTCAATAATAAGAAAACAAACAGCCCAATTTTTTTAATTGGCAAAAGATTTGAACACACATTTTACAAAAGAAGATATACAAACAGCAAATAAACATACAAAAATATGGGGACTTCCCTGGTGGCGCAGTGGTTAAGAATCACCTGCCAATGCAGGGGACATGGGTTTGAACCCTGGTCCCGGAAGATCCCACATGCCGTGGAGAAACTAAGCCCGCGTGCCACAACTATTGAAGCCCGCGCGCCTGGAGCCTGTGCTCTGCAACAAGAGAAGCCACTGCAATGAGAAGCCCGCGCACCGCAACGAAAAGTAGCCGGCACTCACTGCAACTAGAGAAAGCCCATGCGCAGCAATGAAGACCCAATGCAGCCCCAAAATATAATTAATTAATTCATTAATTTAAAAAAACATACAAAAATATGCTCAACATTATTACTCATTAGGGAAGTGCAAATCAAAACCACAATGAAATAATATTTCACACCTACTTGTAATAAAAAGACTGACCATACCAGGTGTTGGCAAGGCTGTGCAGGAACTGGAACTCTTATACCCTATTTGTAGGAATAAAAAATGATACAACCACTTTGGAGAACAGTTTTGCAGTTTCTTAAAAAGTTAAATATACACCTGTCTCACGACCTAGCCATTCTACTTGTAGGTATTTACCCAAGAGAAATGAAAGCATATACGACACAAAAATGTATACACCAATGTTCACGGCACATCTACCATATTTGTAATAGCCAAAAACTGGAAACAACCTAGTGTCAACAGGTAAAAGAATAAATACACTGCAGCATGTCCATTCAGTGGAATACTACTCAGCAATAAAAGGAGTGAACTGTTGATACACACAGTAGGATGGATGAATCTCTAAATAGTCATGCTGAATGAAAAAACCTGGAAATACAAGAGTACATACTGCTTGACTGAATTTATAACAATTCTATAAAATGCCAATTACTCTGTAGTTACAGATCAGTGGTTGCTTGAAGACGGGAGGCATAGGAGTTGGAGGGAGTGGAGGAGTTATGAAGGGCAGAAGAAACTTTTGAGGGTGATGGATATGCTGGTTATCTTGATGGTTTCACAAGTATGTACATTTGCCAAAACTTATCAAATTGTACATTTTATAAAGATGCAATTCATTATATGTATGCAAGTTATATCTCAATAAAGTTGCTATAAAAATTATAGACACTGTTTCTGAGAGACACCTCTTCTGCCTCTCTCCCTCTCCTACTTCTGTTTGCCTGATAAGACGGGGAGGTTTGGGTACCTAGTCACCCAAGGATCACAGCATCTCATGGATTTGCCCACTCTCCTCTGCTTTGTAGCAGTGAAGCCCCTATAAATACTCCCTTCACCACACTGTTTTTTCATGGCTGCATGTACCTTCTAGGAAGCACCTTCCTAGGAATGCATCTGCTGTTCCTTTCAGCTGGCTCACTGCAAACACTCTTGCTGGTTTCCCTTCAGCTCGGTAAGCTGCTGCCCACAACTTGAGCGAATAGGTAAAAGCTAATACCCATTGTATCAGTTACCCGTGGATGTTGTAACAAATTACCACAAATTTCGTAGCTTAAAAACAAAAGAAGTTTATTATCTCAGAGTTCTGGAGTCCAGAAGTCTGAAATCAAGGTGTTGGCAGGGCCACACTCCCTCCAAAGGCTCTAGAGGAGAATCCTTCCTTACCCCTTCCAGCTCTGGTGGCCCCAGATGTTCCTTGACTTGTGGCCACATGACTCCAGTCTCTGCCTCCATCTTCACATGGCCATTCCCCTTTGTCTCTCAGGTCTCCCTCTGCCTTTCTCTTACAAGGACACCTGTCATTGGATTTAGGGCCCTCTCTAAATCCACAATGATCTTATCTTGAGATCCTTAATTACATCTGCAAGGACCCTTTGCACATTCACAGGTACTAGGGGTTAAGACTTGGACATATCTTTTGTGGGGCTACTATTCAATTCACTACAGCCATCTATATCTTCAAATTTCTAGGGATAGGTCAAGGGTAAGGCATGTGGCATTATCATAGGACCTGAGATACATGGGCAGGATCTACAAGTGTTTCAGCCTGTGAAGTCCTTTTGCTCGGGCCTCTCTGATATCCCAGTGAGATCTGAAAAGGAAATGATCTGACCTCCTTTGCCCCACTGTATTGCTATGGTGATGGCCCATAGCCTCAGGGCCATTCACAGCTCAGTAAATTTGGCAGATGGCTGGCTAGTCTTACGCAGTAGTCATAGGGCTTGGAAGGAAGGAACATTTATTGAATCCCTAATCTGTGCCAAGATTTCCACTTTAATCTCTACAAAAATCCTGAGGTAGGTTGTAGAGTTCCCATTTTATAGATGAAGAAACTGGTTAGAGAACTTTTCTAATTTGCCCAGAATCACGCAGTCAGTAAATGGCAAGGCTAGGATTTATAATGAGGTCTCCTGGATCCGAAGCCTAGTAACATTTTTGCCATATAGGACTCGATCACAAGCCCAGGGAAGATGAGTGACCAAACCCATACTTCCCTACTCAAGATCATTACCGTTTCCCTCGGATAATGGCCATTTAGTGATTAGTAACTTGTTAGTGGCACACGACTGGCACCCAGTGGCTATAGCTAAAAACTACAAGATTAATGATAGGTCCAATTCTTTTACCTCTGCACCAGTCCCTCAGTTTCCATTTCTAAACAGGTAAAGTAGAATAGCTGACCTCTTGAGTAACATTGAATAAAACCATCTATGGCTATTATATAGTTTATGGAGAAATGAAAGAAATGAGAGAATATTTAGGGTTTTATAGAATATATTCATGGAAAGGTCGTGCCAAGAGTGGAGATATTAAGCCTTGATGTTGGAACAGAGGACAGTGGGCCATGAAGACAAGATAGTAATCCTGGACTTACTGTCACATTTGAGTGTAGGGACTAAAAACTTAAACCCAGAGTAAGCAGGAACAGTAGCATGGAGGCAGCTTCCTAAGGAAAGGTGTTGTTTCGCAGGTGGTAGACCAGAATGAAATGTCTCATAGAGTGTTAAACTCAAGGAGGTCTATCCTGAGGATAGGGCTCTCTTATCTGGGGGACCTGATGAGAATGGAAGGTGTGCAAGGCTCTCCTAGGACTCAGAGATTTATATCTGAACGTAGGTATTTCCTTGGGTAAAGGTTTGTCTATTACATGAGACTTCTAGGTTGGAGTGAAGTAAAAGAATAAGCTTTTTCTTAAAGAAAATAAAAGATGTTTGGAAATTTTCCTAATACTGTTTCTTTTTTCACACCTTTAGGGCCATCTTTACCTCTTCTACGTTTCTTAGAATATAATTACTTAGAAACTGAAACTTGCCTTGTTAAACAACATATGATAGAATACATTTTTTATTGTTATAATTCACATACCATAAAATTTACCACTGTAAATTTACAATTCAGTGGTTTTAAGTATATTCACTGTGGTTTGCAGCCATCACCAGTAAATTCCAGAACATCTCCATCACGCCAAAGAAAAAAACCTTGTACCTAATTTGCAGTCAGTCCCAATTCTCCTATCTCCTGTCCCCTGGCAACCACTAATTTACTTTTCCTCTCAGTGGATTTGCCTATACTGGATATTTCATATAAATGGAATCATACAATAAGTGGATTTTTGTGTCTGGCTTCTTTCACTTAGCGTAATGCTTTCAAGGTGCATCCATGTTGTAACAGGTAACAGTACATTCCTTTTTATGGTTGAGTAATAGTCCATTGTATGGATATACACCACATTTTTTAATCCATCCATCAGTTGATAGACATGTTATTTCCACTTTTTGGCTATTATGAATAATGCTGATGTAAACATTTTTGTGTGTGTGTACATATGTTTGTCATTCTCTTTGGTGTATAGCTAGGGGCAGAATTGCTGGGTCATATGGTAACTCAAACTGTTTTCCAAACTGGCTGCATTATTTTACTTTCCCACCAGCACTGTGTAATGGTTCCAATTTTTCCATATCCTCATCCACAGTTGTTATTATCTATTATTATTACTACCATCCCAGTGGGTATAAAGTGGTATCTCATAGTGGCTTTGATTTGCATATCCCTAATGAATAATGATGTTGAGCATCTTTTCATGTGCTTATTGGCCATTTATATCTCTTCTTTGGAGAAATGTCTATTCAAATTCTTTGTCAAACCCATTTTTTTATTGGGTTGTTATTTTAAAGTTGAACTATGAGTTCTTTATTCTGGATACAAGTCCCTTATCAGATATGATTTCCAAATATTTTCTCCCATTCTTGTGGGTTGACTTTTCACTTTCAAGTGTCCCTTGAAGCACAAGTTTTTAATTTTGATGAAGAGGATATCTATTTTTATATACTTGTATTGAAAAACAAGGAGCTGGGAGGATTGGGTTCTGACCTTTGTTTCTCTGTCCAAATTGAACCAAATAGCAGGGCTTTGAAAGCTACACAAGACTACAAAATGTGACCTGTGGCTTCCCATGTTTGACCTCAGTCAGTCATTTGTTGAGCACTTACCGTGTGCAAGGCACTATGCTAGCTGTAAAAGAGATACAGGCATGATGAACCTTACAAGGAATTTAAGATGTAGAAAATGGACATAAATACATAAATTGATGAAAAGGGGCATGCAATGCATACTTAAAAGAGCCCAAGGAATGGAGCAGACAGTACATGAGTGACCAGAGTTCAGAAAAGCTAGGAAATGCCCGGAATGGCTGGAGTGAACTGCAAAGCCTCCAAAAGAAGAAGGAAGTCTTAAAAGTTGGGGGCTGGGCAGGGGGTTCACATGAGCCAGGAGGAAGTAATAGGGGGTTCCAGGTGAAGGAGGAAAGCCCTGTGAGGTCAACAAAGCCACCAGGCACGTGATCTCACTGGGGCTTGTTCATGCTTCTGCAAAACTCACTTAGGACTTCTAATTTTTTAAGCAGCTGCTCCCAGAGAAAAAGAATGCAGAGCAGAGCACAGAGGACGCGCATGAGAACAGCAGCCTGGAGCTCCTTGCAGGTAAGGTTTCAGCTTTTCAGGTGAGCCCTGGATCAAAGCTGGGAAGTCAAAGATGTGACTTCAAACCTTCAGACAGCACCTTACGCCACAGCAATGTTCTGGGGTTTGGTTGTGGCTCCCACCACCACTCTGGGTATTCTGGGGCAGCAGGAGGCGTTCCCTTCCAAAAGCTGCTACGATAGGACTAGAAATTTCTCACAGTTTGTGCAGTTAGATAGCTGCACATGATGGGGCAGGGCCCTGAATTCAGTTGGTTCCTTCATGTTTTCATCATTATAGTGTTGCTACTGTGGCCGTCCTTAGTTCTGGTTACTACTGTGTTTGGGGCTCCGGAGTCTGCTCCTGGATGCAGACACCACCTCAACCTTGATAAATGTTATGGGGAGGTGTCAGTGTGTGTAATGTGACGGTGACTATATTGTCTTTTCCCCTCCCTCCAACACTTAAACAGCCTTCAGGGCCTGCAGTAGCAGGTGTGTATGTCTGAGAATAATCATAGCCACTGGTGCTTGAACTGGTATGGTGCAGGTGCCAGGCACTAGTCCGAGATTTGAAAGTGTATTAACGCTCTTAATTCTCAAAACAGTACTATGGTACTATTATTATCCTCATTCTACAGATGAGGAAACAGAGGCCCAGAGATGTCAATAAACTTACCTGAGGTCACACAGCTAGTAAATGACAGAGCCAGAATTCAAACCCAGGCAGTCTGGCTCTGGTCTATCTCTAACAGAGCCAGGCTGGTGGGGATGCACTGTCGGACCAAACAATGCCTGGGCTTGAGGGAATTTGGGGACTGCTTTCAGCACCGTCAGCACCGTGCTTTGTTGGTAAAATTCCTCTCTCCAGGGTAACAGCTACAACATACTGCATGGCGTCTGTGCTTAGGCCTAAGATGTGTTTCTGAATCATTCTGTCAATTAAACTGTATTTTAAATGTTGTGGGGGCTGTTCCTCCCGAAAAGAACCCTGCAGCAAAGGCTGGTACAAAGCCAAGAATCTATAATTTAGATTTGGAGATTTAGAAGAATGGAAGTGTATCATATAGCACAATTCAGTATTCACCACATACGATTCAGTATTTATGTAGTGAAAAGACAAAAGAATAAGTACTTTCCTTAGAAGAAAAAAATTAACATTTATTTCAGCACCTTCTGTGGACCCAGGGAGATGCTAGGCTCTTCCAGTGACCACTCTCACAGTGACCCTTTGGGGTGGGTAGCATTGGCCCCCTCTCACAAGAGACAACCCAGGTTCAGAGATAGGATAGAGCACTTAGCAGGAGGAGGATCTGAACTCCTGCTGCCTTTAAAGCTCATGCTTTCTCTAAAATGCAACATAAGCCTTAAAATCTAGGTGTTTATGATCTGGTGGACCGCCCCCTAGAAGAGTGTTTGAGCTGCTCTGCCTTACAGAGCTGCAACTCTAGTTGCCGTCAGTCCTATGTTCCACATGGGCAGCTACACTGAAGAAAATCACTAAGTGTGTGATGCCACTGTACACCTGTGGTCCATTCTCTGAGGAGCCTTCAGTTTGTCAATTCTTTCCATTGTCTTCCTGGCCTTCTCCTCAGTGGCCACTCCATCCTTTTTTTTTTTTGCGGTACGAGGGCCTCTCACCATTGTGGCCTCTCCCGCTGCGGAGCAGAGGCTCCGGACGCGCAGGCTCAGCGGCCATGGCTCACGGGCCCAGTCGCTCTGTGGCATGTGGGATCCTCCCGGACCGGGGCACGAACCCGTGTCCCCTGCATCGGCAGGCGGACTCTCAACCACTGCACCACCAGGGAAGCCCGCCACTCCATTCTTTTAAAAAACTACCAAGCCTCGTCCTCCTGATTTAGCCTCCTACTTCACTTACTAATCTCTTTTTTCAGTAAACTCACCCAGTTTGTACTCCCCCCACTGCCAGAACCTTATCAGCATAGGGACTAACCCCCTCCAGGCTAAGGGGTGGCATTATCCTTACTGCTTTCATGGTAGCATGTTATCATCTCTGCACCTTCAACTTCTTTTCTGAGTTCCTTTCCCTCAGGAGGTCCATCTTCAAAAGGATATCTCCCATGATCTTGAACTTCTCCCACCTATCATCTCTCTCCATCACATCTCAATCAAGGTTCTCAAAAAAGCAAGCTACACTGTTTCCCTCTCTTTCTTTCATTCTCTCCCTAACCCAGGGCACTTGCTTTCCCTGTGGCCTCTGAACTGCAAAGTCTCTTGTTTGGGAAGGCCTCTTAATTACCAAATTGATGACTGTGCATTTATCTTTATCACACCTGGATTATTTGCAGAGCTTGGCACTGTGAGACTATGACTCACCAGGTTCTCCCCATCTCCTCTCTCTTCGACTAGCTTCCTCTGGCCACCCCCAAATAGTGCTCATACTGCAGTCCCTCCCTAGCTGCTCTCTTCCATCCCAGGCATTGACCCCTGCCTCTGGGCAGAAGACTCCTCAGCTGGTATGACCATTCCAGGTCTCTCCTGAGTGTTAGGTGGGAGATATATCTGCTCACTAGGCTGCTACATATGGCGGTCCCACTGGTACCTCAATTTCCTTTCTCCTGATATCTTGCCCTCTGCACACACACCCAAAATCAGCTCTTCTTTCTTCAGTCTCTGTCATGACTACTAGCACAACCTATCCAGTTTTTCACATCTGAAACCTGAGATTCTTTTGAGATGCCCCCCCATTCTAATGTTTCATATCCAGGCTACTACCAAGGCTTGTCAATTTGGCCTTATGAATACTTCTGACTCCTCCATCCCCGCTGCCTTCACTTCTTCTGGGCTCTTGAGGTCTTCCCTCCTCTAAGCTGACTCTAAGCCACACCTTTGACGAATGATGATTTTTCTGAAATACAAAATTAACAATATCTCTCCAGTGTTTAAAAACTCTTCATTGCCTTCCTATTTCCTACAGATAAAAATCCATTTCTTAGCCTTCTCTGATTCCCACTAACCCATTCAGATTCATCTCCTTGGACTGCCCCCCCCACTTTGCATTTTGTGTGGGATACTGTTTAATGCCTTTGGGTGTTTGCTTAACCCTTTCAGCCTGTTAATCCTTTCCTCTGCCTTGTCAGTCCGGTGTATTACTCTTCATCCTTCAAAACCCATCTCAGACATTTCCTCAAGGAAACCATTCTTCACGTACAGAGATGGTTAACAGCTTCTTTGTTTTACCCCTGGACTTTGTACACACTTCTGCATCGTTCCTACCATCTGTGAGCTTCACCCAGGGAACAGCTCATTGATCTACATTCCTAGGACGTGCTCAGGAAGAACCTGTAGATCCAAACTTACTTTAAGTTTGCACTGCCTAAGCAGCGTGCCCAACAAAGGGGGAGAGAGGTGAGGCTGGCTTTCTGGCAGGGGAATCACAGTTTGGCAGGGAGGGAGGAGCTGGATGGTGCAGACTCCACGAGGAATCTGTGTGAAGTGACCAAGTGGGCGCAAGCCCCAAGTGAGGGCTTGGTTCAAGCCCAGATGCCCCTTCCCAGGCCCAGCTCAGTGGCTACAGAGACCCCGAAGCTATTGTGCAGCCTCAGCCTGACCCTGAAGGCCCGGAGCTGCCGGGTTTTGATCCGGACAGGACCAGGTGAAAGGGTCCTGAGGTGGGAGGGCTAAGAGAGCCGGACTCCAGCTCCTCCCTTTCTCCCAGGTTTCCCCCAAGGGTCGTCCTAGCACAGGACATGGGAGTAAGATGAGCGGGCTTGTTTTCTCCTAGGGACCAGCGGGCAAGTAGAAAACAAGAGTCTCAAAAGAGGCAGCCTCTGCCAAGGAGTGGAGGAGACGCGGGCTTTCCGCTCCCCTCGGGCCCTGAACCCGTCAGAGGCCACCTTGGGCCGCGCGGAACCCACCGCGGCTCCCCTGACCCCTAGCAGAAACAGGACGGGCCCCAGGAGCGGCCTGGAGGTAACCGGGCTAAGGCCGCGCAGGGGAGGGAGCGGCGGGAGGGCGGGGACCCGGCCGCTGCCGAGGGGTCCTCACCCCGGGCCCCCTTTCCTCCCGCAGGACGCGCTGTGGCTGCAGGAAATCTCCAATCTGTCCGAGTGGCTGAGTCCCGGCTCCGCGTCCTGAACCGGGCCCCCTCCCGCCGCCTCCACGTCTGCCCCGCCGCTGCCGGGCCCGCGTGTTGTCTGTAGTTCAATAAACCTACTCTGCGCGCGCAGTTTCTGCTTCAGTGTCGGGGAGGAGTCGGGGGCGGGACTGGAGCCCGCGCCGCCGGGTGACGTCGCCACGCTTCCGGCCGGAGCGGGCCTGGCAGCGGCGGGACCGCGTCACTGGGGCGCGCCGCGGGTCCGGGCGCGATGGCGGCGCTGGGCGGGGACGGGCTTCGCCTGCTGTCGGTGTCGCGGCCGGAGCGGCAGCCCGAGTCGGCGGCTCTGGGCGGTCCAGGCCCCGGTTTGTGCTGCTGGGTGTCCGTGTTCTCTTGTCTCAGCCTCGCCTGCTCCTATGTGGGCAGCCTCTACGTCTGGAAGAGCGAGCTGCCCAGGTGCGGGGGCTGCGCCCGCGCGCGCGCGCGCAGCCAGAACCCGCGCCTCCACGAGGCGGGGCTATGGGCGGAGCTTGGGCGAACAGAGGGTGGGGCCGCGCTGTCAGGAGGTGGTTGTGGGCCCCTTGAATTTACTGCCTCCTTCATAGGGACCATCCTGCCGTAATCAAGCGGCGCTTCACCAGTGTCCTGGTAGTGTCAAGTCTCTCGCCCCTCTGCGTGCTACTCTGGAGGGAACTTACAGGCATCCAGGTGCGAAGGAGGCGGGGCAGAGGGCAGCGGGCGAGAGGTCTCAGGGCTCATTGGGGGAGGAAGCAAGACTGATGCCCCCTTTCCTGTGGCTCAGCCAGGCACATCCCTGCTCACCCTGATGGGATTCAGGCTGGAGGGCATTTTTCCAGCAGCGCTGCTGCCCCTGCTGCTGACCATGGTGAGTGCTCTTGCTTTATTTTTCCTTCCCTGCTCTTTGTTATTAGCGTGACGCTTCTTTCCGTGGCCTTTTTTTCTAATCCTGATTGTATCCAGCTTTTGACTGATGGGAGACAAGAATTGTGAGATGGCTTAGGGCCCTCGGGTATGCATCTATGGAAGCTTGAAGTCTCATGAAGCCATGTCTGGGCAAGGGCAGTGGATTATGGTTTGAAACTTTCCTTTGATCGCTCCTGTTTTTCTGCCCCCAGATCCTTTTCCTGGGCCCACTGATGCAGCTCTCTATGGATTGCCCCTGTGACCTGGCAGATAGGTTGAAGGTTGTCCTAGGTGAGTCCTCAGGGCCAAGGAAAAAAGTAGGTACAGGCAGTGCAGGACAATGAGGTAAGGGGATCAGTGCGCTTATGGTGGGTCCTGGACATGAGACATGAGATGTTCTGTTTCCTCATCAGTAAAGTGGGAGCACATATCCGGTGGTCTCAAAGAGTTAGTTCCTGATGTCCAGTGAGGCCTGTAGGGACCCCAGGCAGTACTTGTTGTGGACAAGAAAGCATTGTCCGTTACTTCCCTTAACCTTTGGTTTCCCAAACTAGAGCTGGTTTTGGGCAAGTTTTGATGTATCCAGAGTTTACAGTCAGGACACCTTGCCTCAGCTACTAATGCCTTCCCTTTCGGTCCCCTTGAGACGCTGTTTTATACTAGGTCCGATAAGAAAATTTGACCCTTTCCTGTTCTCACAAGTATTTATGCCTAAGCTGAGTTTGGCCAGGGGGAGGTTGTGGCAGAGGGGCCCTTGGGGCCTCTAGGGTCATTTTGTGCAATACCTAGTCACTCGTGGCTTGCCCTGAATCCCCTCCCTAGCCCCTCGCTCCTGGGCCGGCTGCCTCACGGACATGCGCTGGCTGCGGAACCAAGTGATCGCCCCCCTGACAGAGGAGCTGGTGTTCCGGGCCTGCATGCTGCCCATGTTAGCACCGTGCACAGGCCTGGGCCCTGCTGTGTTCACCTGCCCACTCTTCTTTGGAGTTGGTGAGTTTGTCCAGCCTAGTCCTGCTGAAATGTTCCTGGCATGGGAACCAAGAATGGGGTTTGGGGCAAGGGCAGGGCCTATAGGGCAGGCTGGGAGGAATGTGATGTGGTTCTCATCTTCCTCAGCCCATTTTCACCACATTTTTGAGCAGCTTCGTTTCCGCCAGAGCAGTGTGGGGAGCATCTTCTTGTCTGCAGGTGAGTCCTAGAGAGCTTGCCTGGGGCAGTCCTGGGTTGGGTGTGTGAGGGTGTCCCTGATAAGTCACTCTGGAGGAAGAATGGGGAACAGAGGGCTACAGTATTGGAGGGGCCGCTGACCATGGGAGTTGGGGTGTAGAGAACAGCCTAGGTACTGGGGCAGGCAGCCACTGCCCCTAGGGGAAGGGGTTGTCTCTGGCTGATGGGTATGCAGTGCTGGGGCAGGAAGGGCATGCAGGTGTGGTCACTCGAGGCCTCCCCGTCTCCAGCGTTCCAGTTCTCCTACACAGCTGTCTTCGGTGCCTACACTGCTTTCCTCTTCATTCGCACAGGTTGGTCCTCAGTCTCTCGGGTCCCCTGGGGCTCAAGGGCCCACAGGAGTGGGTGGGAGAATGGGAATCTGTGTCTGTTCTAGGAGCGACAAGTTTCTTCTACCGCAGTCCTTGAGACAGGCTGAGCCTGGGCCCTTGGCCTGCTGTGGTTTGAGAGCTGGCAGGAAGCACAGGCTGTGGTGTTTGGGTGGATGGGTGGGGCAGTGATCTCCTGTTTCAGGGGATGAAGGGTCTTAGCCCTGGAAGGGCCTGGGGAGGTGGTGGGGCTGCTCCATGAGCTACTCTGTCTCCCCTCCCCAGGACACCTGATTGGGCCGGTTCTCTGCCACTCCTTCTGCAATTACATGGGCTTTCCTGCCGTATGTGCGGCCCTGGAGCATCCGCAGAGGCGGCTCCTGCTGGCAGGCTATGCCCTGGGTGTGGGATTCTTCCTGCTTCTGCTCCAGCCCCTCACGGACCCTAAGCTCTACGGCAGCCTTCCCCTTTGTGTGCTTTTGGAGCGGGCAGGGGACTCAGAGGCTCCCCTTTGTTCCTGACCCACGCTCCTGTACACACTCCTATGAACTCTCATGGGCTTCCCAGCCCCTCCCCATCAAGGGGTACTGCAGGGGAGGAGCTGGCTGGGGTCCCCGAGAACTCAGGAATTTTTGTAGGGGATTGAAGCCAGAGCTAGTTGAATCCCAGGGACCAAGAGAAAGGAGTAGATATCCAAAGGATGTGGCCCCTCCTCAAAGGGGGTTGAGGAGCAGCCAGGAGTGAGGGGACAAGGGGCGGGTCCCAGGAGCCGTGCACTCCCTTCCTCACTTTGGACTGTTGCTTCTCTGAGCTGCTCTGTCCCCCCTGCCTCTGAAAAGCTGCTCGGGGGTGGAATTTACAAAAACCCTCCCCCCACCTTCCCAGGGTTTTCTCATTGTCTTTTTGCATCAGGACTTTGTATTGGGATATTAAAGAGATTTAACTTGGGTAACATGGCCTTGGACCTTTGGGAATTAGTCTCTTTGGGGTCTTGGGAATATGCCCCCCACCTGGTCCTGGCTACCTTGAACACTAACCTCTAGGCAGGTAAGCCTGGTAGGCATAGTTCCCTGAAGTACCAGACAGGATGGGAGCCTGTGGTTGCCCTGGGTCTGCAGCTTTCTCCTTCCTGAGCAAGGCCCCAAGTCCTAGCACAGGTGGGCCTGGGACTAGGTACCAGGTGTGGGCCCAGCTCATCCTGGGACCTGTGCCTATCTACCAGGATCAGAGTAGAACCCAGGGCCTTGACCCCAGTGACGGAGCCTCCAGCCTCTGAGAGGGTGGGGGAGTCCACTATGGGCCTTCCACCAGGACCTCCCCGAAGTCTACCAGCCTCACATTACACAAGAGGAAATAAGTGTAAACTGGAAGTTCAGTCACCGGGGAGGCTTTTTTGGCTCTCTCCACCTCAGACCTCTGCCACCGTGCCAGTCGTTTGGTCTCTGGAGGAACCCAGAACAAAGGTCCAGCAAGCATAAGCAACCCTGCCAAGCAACACTGTAACTCAGCGTTCTTTCTAGAACTTGGTAGTATTTTACCTGCTCTTCCTCGTGTTTTTGGAATGGTTCTTATAGTCTCATTCCTCTGCCCCTAGGACACCACCACCCCCCGGCTTTTTTTTAAACATTCTTAATGTTATCCCTTTAGGTCCCATTCCAGACTCAAGGAGGTTGTCCCAAGTCCCCTTCCCTGAGGCTGGTGGTCGAAGGAAAGGAAACCGCTGTGCAGTCACTCCCCACAGCTCCCGCAGGTTGGCTGTGGCTAAACTATAACTGGATCTAAAAGGGCATCGTGACAGTCACATACCTACCTCCCTGGAGAGCTTTCCTCTCCCCCAGCCTGTGTAGCAGCTGTCAGGGAAGCCAAGGAATTGAGTACAGGTTGGTTTTAGAGGGTACATTTGGGATCTGGGAGTCGAGAGAGGAGGCGGCCCAGGACCACACCAAAGGTTAGGTGTAGTACCCTGAGAGCACTAGGCTGGCAGGGTGCTGGGATGTACTTCCTGCCTGATCCCGAGGGTCAGGGGATCTGGGCTCTGTCCCTCCTCTTCCTTACGCTCCTGCTCAGGAACTGCCCAGGGCCCCCCCTGCCTTTCTCTTTACTCGCCATCCTTACCTCCCCTGTGCAGTGGGCAGCGGTGCAGTGACACGGGCAGGGTTGCTGTCCCACCCCACAGGTGAGGGAACTGCACGGAAGAATTGGGATTCTCCCGAGGGCTGATTTGGGGGTCAGGGGGTCAGGCAGGATCTGATCCTGGGACTCAGTCCAGTGCTTCTAACCTCCCACCAAAATCCACACCCAGAGGTTCCCACACCCAAGGGTCTCGTCTGCCTCTGGAAAGTGGTGTCTGTTTGCATCTAGTTCTGGATAGGGTGGTGGGTTGGTCCCAGCTTAGAAAATAAAGCAGTGTAGTTGAGAAGCAAGTCCACCAGCAGCCTGGGTTTGAACTCTCTCTGCCTCTTAACTAGCTGTCGGGTCCTGGACAAGTTATTTAACCTGCCTATGACTCCATTTCTGTGTCTATAAAATGGGTGAAAGTGTTAATAGGTGTTGAGTTAATAGGTGTTAAGTGCTTAGAACAACCCCTTCCCCAGCCCAAGCTCTCAGTGACAACTAGCTAATCCTATTTGGGGTGTGTATACAATAGGCACTTAGCAGCGACGTAAAA